TTGGTTTGTCAAGTATTTGGAAAATGCCTAATTTCACTCTGCTGGCTTGTCTCACCCATACATGTATCCCAAACAAAAGAGAAACATTTTAAAAAAATTTATATTAATTAAAAACACACCAATGATGTGCGTTACTCTGTATTGTATAAAGAAATGTCCAATAATTATAAAAATTAAATATATGCAAAACAAACTCATTTTCAGAGAGTTTAGAGGCTGCACAAGAGTACACCCCATTCTCATGTGGCCTCCACAGCATCACCCCCATAACAGAAAGGGGCATGCTTTCAAAAACAGTTGTTTTCAAGTGTTGGTGAATCTGGTGTGTCATCATGGCATGTCACCTTTGACACATGGGTCATAGTTTCACCATCACTGGTCTGCCTGACATCTGGTAGATGTCTGTCAGATTTCAGGAAGAAGGGTGTAATTAAGTCAGATTCTGTGCTGACAATGCTTTCAATCAAAGTATGGTAAACATAAGCAATGTGTCATCTTCTATTTTACATTAAAAAAAAACTGAATCTATTATGAATTTTACTTGCACATCTTCCATTGTTCTGTTCTAATTTCAGTTGCTGCCAGTTGAGAACTCAATGTAATCTTCACAGCATAAAGCTTCTGCAGGTCAGGCAGACTACTGAAAAACAGTGACTGACGTCTAACATCATTCATTTTGTTTTGCTAACCATGAGAAAGTAATCCAATCTGTAATATAAAAATATGATTATAAAAAGCTGTAAAGATATGATACAATTCAAACTATTAGAAAGTTATTTTAATGTCATTCTCTTTGATAGTGAAGTTGGATGTTTGAGTGTAGTAGTTATCAATATGAAACATGATGTTCAAAGCATAAGATGTCTATATATCTGGAACATACGTATAATTGTATTAACTTCCCTCTTTAAACTCGGAAGGTTATTTCAGATGAAATGAAAGAAAATATCCCAAATGCTACTTTCTTTTCCTTCTCTCCAGAATGACCCATCAGCATATAACACAGAAATGTAACTCCAATTTACTGTTTTCTTCATTTCTCTTACTTTCTAAATAAAACTATTCAAGATACTTGTCCAAATTGGCTGAGTACTTATAAGTATATTCTTATAATGTAAATAAATTATGGCTTTTGAATGCATTCTCACTTGAATGTCACTATGAAATATAATTATGAAGAATACTTTGTCACTGTACTTTTAATTGAGAATTTTAAATAAAATGAAAGTAAATGTAAATGTTCTATCTTCAATTAATCAGTCAAACCAAATCAAAATCAGATCAAAATATTCTTGTTATCTTATTCTATGCCTAAATTGGATCATTTTAATAAATTCATTTAGTACTTCAGTATATGATATTTTGAAATTATTTGCAAATGGCTCAAAGTATATTTTAACTATTCAGAAGCAAGTCCTATTTTTCAATTCATAAAGCTAGTACTAATGGTAACCCATTGATTTGGTTGTGGGAAGCCAGCAGGAGGTTGCCTTGCTTAATGACCATTGTGGTTAACAATGGTAACTGGGCCTGCAGGGACTGCTGTTGCTAAGTGATGCCATCATAGTTTATAATAGTGACACTAAGTGATGAAAATTCCAATCTCAATTCCTGTTGTAAGTCAAAGTCTACCAGTACTGTGTAGGTATAAGTAGTCTTCACTTAACAATCACAATTGCAGCAACTGCATCACATGCAACATGGTTAAGTGAGACATCATGTGATTATTTCGGTTTTATGACATCAGTTCTGCTGTGGTTATTAAGCATCACATGACTCCGAGTTGCAATTTTACTGCTGGCTTCTTCATTGACTCTGCTTGTTGAAAGCCAGTTGTAAACATGCAAATGGTTGTAAATGCCCCCAGGTTCTACAAAGGACTGTTTTTTCAATTACAGAAATGTGTTAGGGCCTCTTAAGAAACAAAAGTCTTCAGGGTATAACTTATTAAGATCCTATAATTTCAGGCAGTAGTGCAATTGGCTGGAAAGTACTAATCATTTAATTAAGGTCACAAAGCTGAGTTTGTTAACTAGCCCAACACTTATTAGGAAAGTGCTGCACCAAGGACAAAGGATGCTCAGGAAGAGATAGCAAGTTAGATATCTGAAAAGCTGAACAATATTTGATCATGCTATGCCAGCTGGATGGAGTACATGAGGACAAATAAATAAATAAAAAATAGCTTCTGTTGAAGTTGCTATATTTATGACTATCATTTTCAGTCGTAAGTTTCAACTGTAGATCTTACCCCACAGATTTTAAAAACTGAAGCAAAGTTTATTTGACTCTGTTAAAATAATTATTTCATCTAAAAAGTTAACAAAATACTTAGAACGTCAGAAACAATCTGTTTCTCAGAAGTGTGAGAGAAAAACGTGATGAAAAGCACTCAATTCTTTTTCTTCTTCTCTCTCTCCAAACAATTATTACAAAATATGGTAACCTTAGAACTGCTAATTTAGACTTGTTTTAACTTTTTTTTTGTCTTCAGGACTAAACCTGACAGCCTGGGAAAACCTGAAAAACAGGAACTAAGCCACATAGCTTTTGTTTCCCTTCCTACAAGATAAGCTGGACGCCTTTTCTTCAAAATATATTTGTTGATCAGAGGAACGCAGAAGAACAATCTCAATTAGGAATCGGAGAAAGCTATTGTACCGTTATTTCCAGCTCCCAAAGCGCTGGGGAAAAATATGTACACAAGAAACAGATTATCTTTTTAAAAAACGCGGGAAAATGTCGTGAGGCGAGAGAAAGAGCTACGCCTGGGATGGCGCACAATGGAGGTGGGCAATGAAGACAGAGGCAGGAGTGAAAGACAAAGGCGCAGAGAAGGAGAAAACCACGCGGGGAAAGTCGTCGATTTGACTTTCTGACTAAAAAAAAAAAAGTGAACTTCTCTCAGTTACAGATCTTAACTCTTCCTTTCTCCGCATTCTTTTTGTTTCCTTGCACTTCACGTTTTTCTGTTATGGCCCGAGGCGCTCAAAGAGAGAGGAAAAGTACGCACGGATAGGAATGGCGATTTAGCAAAACCGAATGTATGGAAATGTATGTATGTATTTAGCAAAAGTATCTGTGGTGCAATTCAGTGCCACGTACAAATGGGTAAGAGTTCAGCACTGATTTGTAACGCAGCTCCGGATTCCGCTGAACTGCCCGTCCAAAGTTCACCAGCACGTGATAACGTTCAGTCCCAATTGGGGCAGCCTCGAGGCACGGCAGAGCTGGGGCCAGAAAGCGGAATTACGCAACCTTTTCCCTTCTGATTTGTATAGGGGAAAACGTCCCAGCCTTTTAAAAAGATCTTAAATCTGATTTTGACAGTACAGTAGATTACATAATTGCTGTCGAACTGCTGGACAGGCTGTTTTAGTGCCACAAGGAAATAAATATAAGGCGCCTCTGTAAAAACTCAAACATTTTTTTAAAATTTCTGTAATCTCTGACCATCCTGACTGATAGGGCAGTTAACTATTCAGACGTTTATTTTGAACTTCTCTAATATATTGTCCAACTATAGAAGATAGGGGGGGGGGTTCTCTAAGAAATCAAAACAGCTATTTTTGATATTCTCATGTCTTCTTTGACAATCCACTAATTTTTCAGCTTGATTGCATTATCAGGATTTCAGAAAACTCTGTAGCATATATAAAAATGGGTAATTCTAGTTCAAAACTGCACCTGTGTGTCCTATGCAGTTCAAATAAAGGACTAAACAAAGCTATGTATTTTGCAAAAAAATGTAACTACATGTGAGCAGACACTTTTAGCTCTGTTAATTGTTTTAAAATGTCATAAATTTGTCCCCAAAAGTTTGAAACTGTAAACTTTCTGCTGTCCCACAATGAAGTTACACTGAATTTACATTCAGGTTTTATAAATGGGTTTTCTCAACCCATTTCATTCACCTAGTCCATCAAAAAAAAAAAAGTGGAATTGATATTGGAAACATTCAAAATATCAAGTGAAACCAGATTTTGCATCTTTTTGCCTTTTATTTTTTCTTGTCCCTGATTTATTACTCTTGAATTCTGTTATCTGAGAATTTGCTGCTTTAAAAATTGTATTTGAGAAGATATTAAACCCATTACTGTATTAGTCTTTGTGCTGTAATAGTTCATCCACATTTCAACATTACTACTTACATTGCAATTAAGTATCAGGAAAGATTGGTTTAAACAAATTATCATTTAACCATGAAAACTCTGGCCATGCTGAGATATTTGTCATATAAATGGTGGTATTGGAAAGCATCATGTTGTAAGCTGTCCAGTCACTTGTTAACTAGATGGGAATCATAAATTTAATAAGTAAATAAATATAGAGATAACGATAAAGTGTTTGTATGCCACCACGGGTGTTCAACCTAGACACAAAAGTTTGTGTGATGTATGAGAAAGGATCTGTCTGTTTAGAATAAAACCACAAATTTACATAAACTTTGAACAACCAAATTATACCCAACTAGAAATAACACAAAGAATTCCACATCTCAGCAAAAATTACTTCATTAGCGATAATCTTTTGTGGATAATGCAGCTGGCTTTGGATATACTTTAATATACCATAAATGCTCATTGAACAATCAGTATTATTATATCAAACGTGCAAATCTTTTTTTGCAACACCATAAAACAATTTAACAATGCCATTCGATGACAAATAAGCAGTTTGTTTCCCCAGTCGAAGTAATATCTGTAGTACAATTTATAATTCGCATCCCCGCGTTCCGTTTTCTGTACCATCTGTCTGTTTCTATTTTTTCAAGATTTCATCTCTATATTACTTTCGTCAATTGCTCCGCCCCTCCCCTTCTGGCGTAAGAAAGCAAGAGTTTCTTGGAATCTCAGAGGGTTGATTCAGAAAACCAACCCAGCCTCAGCAGCCAGTCAACCAATAAGAAGCCGACAAAGGCTATTTCCCCGCCCCCATCTCCCCCCTCCCCTCAAGAGCAGAGGGCGGTGCGTGCAGTTTAAAGGTTGCTCACGTAAAGACTTTATCTGCGCTTGCGTGAGGTGAGAGGCTCATAGGTCACTGCGCATTTCTGTTCCGCCGCTCTGCTTGCTGCCGCCGCTGCTTCGCGTCGAAGTCTGAGTTTGCGTTGCAAAAGGCGAAAAGGGGACCGAACCAAGCGGCGATGACGAAGTCCAGCGGCGACAAGACGGAGAAAGAACCGTGGCGGGGTTGCTATTACAAGCTCGAGGAAGTCCAGAAACACAACCATAGCCAGAGTACTTGGATTATTTTACACCGTCGTATATACGATCTCTCAAAGTTTTTAGAAGAAGTGAGTATATATATAAGAGCTGGAAAACGAGGAGAAGGGATGAGGAGAGAGGATGGCTGGCCGCTATTGTGTGCTGCTAAAGTTGTAGGAAAGAATTAACGGTGGAACTGATTAGGTTTGGAAGGTTTTCAAGATTCTGCATGGTTACTGAAAAGTGGTGCTCGCGAAGAATTGTGCTTTGCCTGGACCAAAGTTCAAACTTACATAACCTTTAGCTTCAGTTGGGAAATTACACCAGTCTAGTGGTGGCTGCTTTAAGTACATCAAGGTGCGCTGTAAAAAAGAACAGTATTTTTTAAACAACAGATTATATTGTTTATTGAAATTAAAATTGGATATTTGTGGAATAAAAGTGATAATTACAGAAAGAACCAGTTTGATATAATTTAGAAAAGCAAGATTGCTAAGGTTCTAGGATTGGCTATGATGAAATGAAATCCTTTGTTTGCTGCCATTAAGTAATGCACCTCTCACCTATCAGATCTTCATAGGTAATGGTTGAGCAATGTGTTTCTTGTAATGGAAGATTAAGGACAAGTCATCATTTTGCAGTAATACATGCATGGACAAGCATTTAATCTTTAATAATTCTAGCAGAGAGATACTGGAAGATGGAGATTGGGAAAATGATAATTGTGATTATGAATCTAAAATGCATAAAAAACTCAGGCTGGACAAAACATACCATTTGTTCACAAGTTTGAGATTAGATATATGGTAGCTATCAAGCTGTTTCATTCTGAAATGTATTTGCCTATGTGTGAATATCTGCAGGATAACATGCAAATATGTTGTTTTTGTTTATGCTACCTACCCAGCATTAGTTACAAGGTTAAACTATATTTATTGGGTAAGTAGAGGACATGAATAGACTCCCCTTTTTTTACCTGGTGTGAACTATTGCATTCGTTAGATCTAAAACTTGTTTGTATACTCTTCAAGCTATCAAATTGCAATACAAATATACATATTTAAAATATGTAAGATTAATAAGCCAGTGGCATTATATATGTTGCTTATCTAATAGTTAATACATAGAAACCCACACAGTTGCTAACATATTTCAAATCTAATCATGGCGAAATAGATTTCACAGTAGAGAAAGGATTATCTCATTTGCTTTTATCTTGGACTGGGTGTATATAACAGGACTGTGATGGCGAACCTATGGCATGTGTGCCACAGGTGGCATGCATAGCCATTTCTGAGGGCACGCGAGCTGATTTTTGGCCTTGATTTTTGGCTGTTTTTCACCCTCCAGAGGCTTCAGGGAACTTCTGAACTTCCGGTTTGAGTGTTGGGCCGTTTTTCACCACCTTCAGGCTCCTAGAAAGCCTCTGGAACCTGGGAAGGGCGAAAAACAGGCCTTCCGGAAGTTGGAAAACGGCCCATTTCTGGCCTCTTGGGGGGCAGGGGAGATCATTTTCACCCTCCCCAGGCTCAGAACGTAGAAATGCATGCTGAGATGGAGCAATTTAATGGCATTGTTAAGAAAGAATGAAATAATCTTGTTTCAAAGACTGTAGCATTGACATCATGTATTGTAAATTCACAG